TATATATATATATACTTTTGTTCTTTAAAAATGGAAGTTAGAAACCAGTCTTTAAATCATCTTGAGGATTTATGCTTTGAGGCATATAGCACACGTACAAGGTGATGTTGGCTCTTTGCTAATGGAGAGGTTTTATGTTGTAGTACATTAACATGTGGCACTTCAATGTGCTTGCTTTAGCAGTGCATTTTACTGCCCAAGTGGCCCAGTAGAGTGATTAAGAGTAAGGGGTTTGGAGCCAGAATGACCTGGGTTCCTATTTTCACTGTCATTCACTAGCTAGGTTTATTTAGGGAAGTCATTTAACCTCTTTAGGCGTCTATTTCCTTTAACATGCAATGAGGATAATGTAGCCTATTTCATATGACTAAAGACTGAGATAGAGTGTTAACACAGCTCATGACAGCACTCCACAAGTGGAAAGTATGTGCCCCTCCCCCCAAAAAACATACTTTCACTTATTTGCTTTTGGCAACTTCTTCCATGTACTACTATTTATGAAATATCCATGTTACGATAGTCATGAGCAGTGAATAATTATCCTGTAGTAATTAAAACATGAGACAGAGTGAAATTATAGGACAGGCAAAATAATGCATGGAAGAAAATAGTGGCTGCCCCTGGAGGATGATGAAAGGGATTTACTTAAAAAGGTAGGAGGAAATGTCCTGGGTAACGGAAATGTTCTGTCTCTTGATAGGGATTTGGGTTGCACAGATTATTGTATTTGTCAAATCTCAGTAAATGTACATTTAATATTTGTGCATTTCATCCTGAATAATTTTAATTGAAATATATTTACATATAATGTTGTCTAAGTTTAAGGTGTACAACACATTGATTTGACACATTTACATATTCCAATGTGATTGCCATTGTATTGTTAGCTAACACTTCAGTTATTTCATAGAATTATTTCTTTTTTTGTGATGAGAATAATTAAGATGTAGTCTCTTAATAAGTTTGATGTCTATAATACAATATTTTGTCTGTGTTCACTGTTCTGTACATCAGATCTCCAGGACTTAATTATCTACTAGTTGCAAGTTTGTACCCTTAAACGTCTCTCTTATTCCCTGACCCTGAGCCCCAGTAACCATTCTACTGTCTGTTTTTACAAATTCATGAATGGACCTTGAGGACATTATGCTAAGTGAGATAAATTAGAAAGAGAAAGACAAATCCTATATGATATCACTTATATGTGAAATCTATAAAAGCTACACTTGTCATGTATAAATTCTATATTAAAAATCTATAAAAATATTAAACTCTAGATGATAATATGCAAGTTGAAATATATTAAAAGAGTATACTGATGTATGCAACTTACTTTGAAATGCTTAGAATATAAGATGGACTGACATATAGATGAAAATAGGAATGTAGAGCCCTAACTGGTTTGGCTCAGTGGCTAGAGCGTCAACCTGCAGACTGAAAGGTCCCAGGTTCGATTCCGGTCAAGGGCATGTACCTTGGTTGCGGGCACATCCCAGTAGGAGGTGTGTAGGAGGCAGCTGATCGATGTTTCTCTCTCATTGATGTTTCTAACTCTCTATCCCTCTCCCTTCCTCTCTGTAAAAAATCAATAAAGTATATTTTTTAAAAAAGACAGAAAATAGGAATGTAGAGAACGGTAAATATCTGAAAAAATGAGTAGAGTCCAATGTTAACTGTAGAATCTAGTTGGTGAGTGTATGTTTATTCATTATATAAAAATTTTTCACATCTGTATGTTTGACAATTTTTATAATAAAATATTGGATGAAAATATACCTGTGAAAGATAGTCTCTAAATAAAATATTGGTTTCTAGGCCATTCAAATTACCAAATGCCTGATGATGTTTCTGTTTTTGAATCTCCTCTTGAGTATCATAGTTAATGAAAGAGAACAGTATAGAAAATAACATCAAATGTGGGAGATTAGTGCTCAGAGTGTGAGAAATTCATTAGCCAGAAAGGCAGGGAATGGAGAATTTCTTTCTTCTTCTTCTTATTTTTTAAAAATATATTTTATTGATTTTTTTACAGAGAGACAGAGAGTTAGAAACATCGATGAGAGAGAAACATCGATCAGCTGCCTCCTGCACACCCACCACTGGGGATGTACCAGCAACCACGGTACATGCCCTTGACAGGAATCTAACCTAGGACCTTTCAGTCCGCAAGCCGATGCTCTATCCACTGAGCCAACCCAGTTAGGGCTCTTTCTTCTTCTTAAAGGTCTAAAATCAGAAAACAAGAGGGAGACACCAAGGGCAATTTGGAGCTAAATCTTAGGTATATTAAAATTGATTTGAGCCCCTCCCAGTTCCTCTGATGGTTTGAAATTAGTGGAGATTCTGTTTTTGTAGCAACTGCATTGCTAAAAACCCAAATTTTTGTTTCCTTATCACAGACACTTCCTGTTTAAACATGGATCTGGTTCCTCTGCTATCTTCAGTGCAACCAGTCAGAACTACCCTCTGACATCCAATACTGTGTACTCGCCGCCTCCCAGGCCACTTCCTCGAAGCACCTTCTCCAGACCTGCCTTTACCTTTAACAAACCTTATAGGTGCTGCAATTGGAAGTGTACAGCCTTGAGTGCCACTGCAATCACCGTGACTTTGGCCTTGTTACTGGCCTACGTGATTGGTAAGCCCGTTCTCCCATGTCTCACTTTTCTTCTTAATCAAAGTCTTATTTTGCTTGGGTGGTGGTGGTTCTCTCTCATCTCTGGGTCCTACAAATTTGAATCTAGACTTAGTATTATAAATAACGAATGGATTTCTAATTAGTTTTTTTTACACTTTCAAACCTTAAATACTGGTAAGGAGAGTATGGAATGCTATTTGAGAAGAAATATTTATGCTACTAACACAATCTTATTGATTGCAATTACTGTAGTTAACCATTTTCCTTTCAATTAAAAGGTTTGTTATGGTTTCCTCATTAGAAGTCATAAGGACTAATCTACGATAGCTTCTTAAATTATAGTTAAACAATAATAGTGCTACTGAATTTTCAGGTAGCAATTTCATTAAAGTAGTAGTTATTTGGAAGCTATCAGAAAACCCAGTGCATAATTTCTTTCCAAGAATTCAGAGTTGTAACTGGGACTTTAAAATGTATTCTTATTTCTACAAGGTAAATGGCTGCAAATCTTTGTGGTTACTATGTTTGACAAAGTAAAGAGGAAAACAGTTGTGAGACACTTTTTACTTTTAAGAAAAATAATTATTGTTCTTCAGTCACCCTGATTAAAGTCAACCTCACTTGATAGAAAATGGTATTGATTTTTCCAGATGGCATTTTGTTTTGACTGAACATTAATTTCCTTGCTCCAGTGGCTCTGCAGTCTAAAATGTAAATTAACTTAAGAAACATGTATTTTGTGGAAGCACTATTCCTAGAATGAATAGAATATCATGGTAGGAAAAAACTTTTATCCAGGTATGTCACTAATAACTTCTTTTCAGGTTTAACCCGATTTCATAATTGAAGCAGAATGACCCAGGAAGATACAATGAATATGATTCTGAGAGGTAGACAAAAAGTGATTTGGATTTAACTATAATCCTATCTAATAATAGACAAACATGGTAATTAACCATACCTCCGCTATGCTTTCCATTGGCTAATCAGCAGGATATGCAAATTAACTGCCAACAAGGATGGCAGCCGGCAGCCACGCAGCTGAAGCAAACATGAGGCTTCCTTGCTCCAGTAATGGAGGAAGCCAAGATTCCCTGCCTGCCGCAGCCCAGCTCTGAGCTCTGGATGCAACAATGTTGCAATTATAGAAGCTAAACAGACCCAGATACCTGCTTTCAGCTAGCTGCAGCCTCAGAGCTGGAGCCGGCTCTCAGCTCCAGTGACAGCTATAGAAGGCAAATAAATCCCAGAATAAAAAAAAAAAAAAAAAAAAAGAGGCGGTGGGGAGCTCCAGTCACCCGCCAGCCTGAACACAGCCCTCAGCCCCTCACCCAGACTGGCCAGGCACCCCAGTGGGGATGCCCACCCTGAAGGGGGTGTGACCAGCTGCAAACAGCCATCAACCCCCCATCCAGGCTGGCCAGGGATCCCCACCCTGATCTGGGACACCCATGCACCAGACCTCTATCCTATATAGTAAAAGGGTAATATGAAAACTGTCCCTCAGAGCATGCCCTCCTGGTGCATCTGTAGTGCCTGTGGGCATGAGTTTGTA